CCCGTGTGGAAATTTTAAAAGCCACACTTTATGCCTGGCCTCCCTTTCCAGATAGAGCTTATCCACATAAGCCTGAGGCGGCTGTTTTAACTGCTGTTCAGAAAGACATTTGTACCTAGTTAGAAGTGGCCATAGAATCATGCAGATTTACCTTGAACCACTTCCCCTGGGGGTTTCCAACTACAGTACAGGAAGTCCTCCTGACTTGAAGCTGCCATGTGGAGAGGGTACAAATGGCAGGGAGAACCAACCTTGAGAGCCGACTGCGCCATCCCAGATGTCCAGCCTTTCCCGACTACCCTTCCGATGACAGCAGTGTCCTGGACACCCAAACCGGAAGAGCCTAGCTGAACAGCTTGCTCACCCACCACAACTGAGGGATAATACATAACGGTTTTATCAACTAAGCGTCAAGGAAATTTGCCAGGCGACAATAGATATGACATATAAAATTAAGTCATTTCATTGTCACAGTAACCCAAAGGGTTGCTGTCAATCTCTTTTCTAAAATAAGGAGATGTTGGCTGTGGTGGTGCACACCTTTGATCACAGCACTTGGGAGGCAGAGGCAGGTGGGTCCACCTGAGCTACCTAGTGAGACCCTATCATTAAAAAATTTAAAAAAATAAAACGAGGAGACCTGAGGCCAGGGATAGCAGTATGGGTGAGTGGGTGTGCTGCGCAAATCTGGCAGCCTAATTTCGGTCCCCGGAACTCACAAACGTGCAAGAAGAAAGCTTGGACTATTCCACAAGGCTGTCCTCTGACTGCCACACTGCTCCTTAGCACACATATTTGCACACCCAGAAATAACAAAACTTTAAAAATGAGATTAGAAACTGCACAAGCAAGGCCCAGAGCTAGGCAGACAGGAAACACAGGACCATCAGCTCAGGTCTGTGGTCTCTTAGGTCTTATGCCCTGGGCTGAGACGTGTATGACTCCTTAGCAAAATATGTCTGGCTTGACAAATATTGACACATTGAGATGAGAACTAGAGACGTGGACAGAGCCATGGAAATGTGTTTGCATGCATGCTGGCCAGGGCGGTGAAGCTGAGCCAGGCTGAAAGTCTACCTAGCATGGCCAAGGCATAGGCTCCTGCCCTCGGCACTCAACAACTAAGTAAAATAATCATTCCAAATATGAAAATAGAGATTTTGACGTGTAGCTGTCTGCTAGTCTGTGCCTCGTGCCATTCAGTAAAGTATGGGCCAATGGTGAGGGGATGCAGGGAGGTGGTAACAGGAGAATGGACCTTGTGGGCAGCACCATGTTAGAGGACTTCGCAACACTTCTGGAGACATGTTGATGGCAGGTCCTGGGTGTCACCGGTGCTGAAGAGAACAGAAGTGACAGGGGACGCAGGCGAAGATTCTCGTGGCTGCTGCTGTGCCTGTATTTGCCACACCTACTTTCCTGGGTCTACCTAATGATTATGAAAGCTACCCCAAATCCTCTAAGCCCTTTGTTCCTTTTTTTAAATGTATTTATTGTGTTGGGGCACAGGGTATTGAACCTAGAGCCTCAAGCATCCTGGGCAAGTACCATACCACGACACAGCACTATCAACCTTTTAGATTTTTATTAATCCATTCATTCACCCATTCAGTTTTGAGATAGAATCTTAACCCAGGCTGGCCTCAAACGCACTGTGTAGGCAAGGATGACCTTTAAATTCTGATCGTCCTGCCTGCACCTCCCTAGCACTGGGATTCTAGGTGGACAGCGTATTCGGCCAGCATCTCACTTAGAGCTCTGTCTTCTAGGCTATTACAGTAAGTCGACTGTCACCATGACCTCATTTCCACATACCCTTCACGGCCACAGAATTCCCAGCATAAGTGTGATGATGTCGCTACCCTGCTCAATGGTCTCATTTGTTACCCACTTACGGTAAGGCTCAAATGGTTCTGGGAGGCTGTCACAGCTCCTTCTTTTTACTGCCTTACCCCAAATTCCTTCTCTCCTGAGATGTGAACACTGCCTCGTTTGTTTATTTATTTATTCATTTTAAGATGATGGCCTTGGGGCAAGCACCTGACTGGCCAGGCCATTCAACAGTCCATTCTAGAAACTTCAACTCAGGTCTGACAAATCAGTTCGTCTCTGTCTAGACGGTTGCAGTGTCCAACATCAGAAATGGTCGGTGACCACATTTTCCTCCCTACTGAGCCAGGAAAATGGAGAAAGTTCAGTGTGGGGTTCAGAAAGTCAAGGTCAATCTCAGCTCCCCTCTAAGTCCAAGGAGACGAGTCAGACTGAGTTTGACTCTGTCTGAGTTGCTTTCCCCCTTTTTTCTTCTTTTTAGTTTTTATTCTTTAGGCAGGCTCTCATGTAGTCTAGGCTGGCCTTGAACTCACTAGGTAGCCAACGATGACACTGAACTCCTGATCCTCCTGCCCCCGCCTCCAGAGGGCTGCAGTTCCAGATACCCTACCGTGCCTGTTGGGTGTGGGGCTGGGACTCTACCCCAGGGCTTTGAGCAGATTAGGCAAGCATTCTGCCGAGTACATCCCAGGCCTGCTTTAGACTGTGTGATACCTGTCCCCAAGAGTCCCCAACCACCGTACGGAACCCAACTCCCCCGAGCCATCGCCCCTTCTTTCCCTTGAGTTAGAGAACACCTCGCGTGGACCTCAGGCCACCCAGACAGACGTCCTTGCCGCTGTGATGCTCCAACACTGCTCCACTCCTGCACACCGTCCTCTGGTATGTGCTTATCCCATCAATCACTTACCCCCCTGGGACGGCGTCCTGCTTACCTATGCTGAAGTGCTTTCTGAAAATATCTCTTGCCTTCAGGGAGACTGAACTTTTGCTAGACCTTGCAGCCAAGTTAATACTATGCCTGGAGGCCATTTAAGACTGTGTGCTTTGCCTGCTGACCTACTGTGTGCTCATACTGTTTAAGCTGCCTTTAGAACAATGTGACCAATCCGTTTTTTTTTTTAAAAGATTTGTTTATTTATTATGTACACAGTGCTTTGACTGCATGTATGCCTGCACACTCTTAAGAGAGCACCAGATCTCACTATAGATGGTTCTGAGCTTCCATGTGGTTGCTGGGAATTGAACTCGGGACCTCTGAAAGATCAGCCAGTGCTCTTAACCTCTGAGCCATCTCTCCAGCCCAATGTAACCAATCTTAATATGCTTTGGATTTTCCATGCAATCAGCTTTTACAACCTAAGCTACATGCATAGTTTTACTCTTAAAAATTATGTACTAGTCCATGAGCCAGGATAGTGTGGTGTGTGTGTTTATCATTTACTGAAGGCAGGCAACAGGTTGAAAGCAACCCTAAACAAAATGAATATCCATCATATGTTGGAAGCAACATGTGATATGGGTTGATAAGATGTGTGAGGTTTTGAGTGTTACTGTGGGTCAGCTGAGGTCAGTAGTTTCTTCCCATGTAGACCTTTGAAGAGTTCTGTCAAGAAGCCCTCATTCCTTACCCATGCTATGTTTCCTGTACTGTTCAGTAAATACAGAGCAAAGCCCTTTGCTAGGACAGGTATAACACACAGCAGCACAGGCAGGCAATGGGGGCAGATCAGACACACAACACATGGGCTACAGGCCGGTCAGAAACCACAAACTCCAGACGGAAGACACAGGGAGAGAACTGGGGAATTCACATTTGGGCTCACTCTTGGTCAAATTATGTGTATGCAGGTGCTTGTAGAGTCCAGAAGAGGGTATCATATCTCCTGGAGCTGTAGTTATAGGTGGCTGTGAGGTACCCAACATGGGGTCCTCAGGAAAAACAAGCACTCTTAACCACTGAGCCATCTCTCCAGTCCTTCACCTACATTTTAAGCTCTTCAAAGACAGTTCTATTTGTTTATGTAGCTCCACAGCCTACCGCCACTGGGGAACACATAATAGGAATTTGGTAAACAACGGATAGACGAGATTATTTCAATAAACCAAGTGAATCAACATGTGCCAGCTCTAGCAAATCTAGACGGCCATGGCCAGTTGATGACCCAGAAGACCCAAATTAAGTCCCCAGTGCCCATGTTGCATGCCTCACAACCACCTCTAACTACAGCTCCAGGTGATCTGGTAGTGTCTTCTTGACTCCACAAACACCTGCATACATGTCTGAAGGACATGGCCAACTGATGAACCCAGTATCTGATGAAGACAGCTGTCTCTGTATATAGTTCAGCAGTTAAACACAAGAGTAACTTAGGTAATACAACTGACCAATGGGAAGCAGTATCCACTTAAAAGCCATACTGCACTCTCCAGAGGGGTCCAGGTTACAATCTTGTGCCTGAAACACACTCTTCTTTCTCCATCTCTAGTACCTGTGTCCACTCTGCTAGAAACACACCAGTTGTAGCTGGAGTTATCTCCAGTCCCCCCGGGCCTGCAGCCACTCAGACCCAAATAAACACACAGACGCTTATTTTATTTAAACTGTTCGGCCATTAGCTCAGGCCTACCACTGACTAGCTCTTACACTTAAACTCAGCCCATTTCTATTAATCTGTATGTCACCACGTGTTCCATGGCTTTACCTGTTGCCTTTACATGCTGCTCCCTGGACAGCAGGCTGGCATCTCCTCCTCCGCCTTCTGTTCCCACAATTCTCTCCTCTGCTTGTCCTGCCTCTACTTCCTGCCTGGCTACTGGCCAATCAGCATTTTCTTTATACAGAGCGATATCCACAGCAACCAGTCATTTTTAGAGCATGTGCTGTGTGCAGTGAGTAGTCTTGAGAATTCCTTGTTTTAGACTTTGGACTTGTTTTTTGTCATCAACATCAACTTCATTGGTTGAGAATACCTAATCAAAAAAATTCCCAATCCAAAATGATCTAAAATCTGAAAGTTTCTAGATGAAATAAATATCAGATTTGGGATTTTCAAATTAAGGAATCACAGGGCATATATATTTTCTAAGAACTACAGCAGACAGGGGAGGAGGTATGTTCTTTAATTTTATATTCAACCCAGAAAACAAAGGAAACAAAACAGCATTTCTTTGTGGCAAAGATGGTTTATTGTACTTCATGGGAGAAATGTAAGAGGGACACTGGTTCATAGCAAAACTACTGAACTTGTCGAGGAAATATGAAAGAGCAGTACAGACAATCAAGCAATGTGGAGGTGACCACAACAGATTCTAAAGTAGTTTGCTTTGGTGTTCTCAAATTAAGATCTTAATAAAACATCTGATACTTCTGAATAAATGTCAGTTAAAATAAATTCACAGAAGTACAAAATGTGTGATTTGTGCTTAAAAAATTAATAACTAGATGTCAGTTCACCATCATTTTGGAAGTGATGTCAACAGTCAGTAAGTGCTTTATAAACACTTTGGCTAAAGGCCTAATCTTGCTCACCTGATAAGTATCTTTTTAAAATAAAGAATTAAAAACTAAAGTGGTTTTTAATTAATTAATTAAAAACTAAAGTGATAAGTCATTACAAATAAGATACAAATGTTTTAATTAATAAATACTAAAGTGGAAAAAAAAAACGATGCTTTTCACAGAATTGTAAAAAAATGCTCATTTACTCCTTATAAAAGAAATAGCCTGCTAGGCAGTGGTGGCGCACGCCTTTAATCTCAGCACTAGGGAGGCAGAGGAAGGTGGATCTCTGTGAGTTCGAGGTCAGCCTGGTCTACAGAGCAAGTTCCAGGACAGGCTCCAAAAAAGCTACACAGTAAAACCCTGTCTTGAAATTCCAGCCCCGCCCCCCCCCCCAAAAAAAAGAGAAACAGTCTGTTACTTTAAAAAGAAAAGTAATGCATTAATAGTACTGAAGAAACAGAGCTGAGAACAGTAAGGAGCAAAGCAGAGCTGGGCTGGGAAAGCCTATCTGTCCCTCCCCAGTTGTACAAAGTGTTGCAAACAATGAACAGAGGCTCCCTTCTGTAAAACACTTGTCCAGCCGCCAGTTACTACAGCCATTATGTTTCTCCAGAAAAATAGTTCACAAGTCAGCGTTAGTTTAGTCATTAATCCTAGTGTGATTGAGAAAAATGTATTAGGCTAGTTCTGGTGACACAAGCCTTTAATCCCAGCAGTTGGAGGATGAGGCAGGTGGATGGATATCTGTAAGTCTGAGGCCATCTTGGTCCCAGGCCAGTCAGGCCTATAAAGTGAGACCCCCCCCCCGTATTTAAAAAGAAGAAAAAGAAAAATCTCTCTAAATGCAAATAAAGCCAACTTGGGCCCTAATATTTAAAATTGTGCAATCATTTCTTCAAAGTTTTATCTTCATTTAGTTTTTATTAAGTAGAAAAAGTTTGCATTTGTAACTGAATTTTCCAATTGGGACCTTCAGAACAATGAAACAAAAATCTGAAACTAGGTCAGAGTACCTTTATTTCCCACATTCTGAAAATATTTATGTAAAATCTATTTTGGCATAATTTTCTCTAAAACTGCCCAGGGCTGCAAGCTGTCAAAATGAGGATGTGCACGCTTAGGCTAAACATGCCTTACACTCCATTCTGCAAACAGCTTCATATGCAAACGTGCTATTTTCTTTGTGCAAAGTCTTAAATTCAAACTAAAAGTATTTAGGGCAAAAAAAAATTTTAAACTATTTCTTTCACCACTGAGGGACAGGCAAGATATTTTTCAATATTGAATTCATTTTTTCATACCAAGGAACAGTTTGTGGCCATAAAATTCAAACATTTAGAAAAACTGACCCAACAACACTATTACAGGAATACATGTAGGCTCAGCAACTCGAGGCGTGCTCTCAGCTCTCCGCCATATGGATGCTGACTGAATCCAGCCCCGGGTCAGCCAACTGTCTAGGAGCAGGGGACAGGGGGCACCAGGACCCAGCTTGGTAAAGATCTGATATTTCAATTAAAAGTCATGGCTAAAATAAACTCCCGTCAGAACTGTCTGGATTCCTCTGATTGGTTTTTAGTGCTTAGATGCCAAGGAAAAATAAAAGCACCTTAGTAGCTCGTCATTTGCCTTTAGCTCTACGCAGCATTTCTTCGATGGTCCAGGGACACTTGGGCCGCCTTCACCGGGCTGCACCGGAAAGACGGCCTGGCTCATCCCGCTGTACACGGGCCCTCTCCCCGCATTGTCATGGTGACAGACTTGTTAAGAGGATGCAGAATACAAAAGGCAGCATAGCAATGCCAAGAACAGGACGCTCCGTTGTATTTCAGATTTAATCTTACAGACTTAATTACACTTATCAGAAGCGTCCCTCCGGTCAGCCCCGGGACGCGATACCTGCGACCTAGCACCAGCACGGCACCGCTGGCTTTGTTTCCGGTTTCAGGCTAATTCTGTTATCAGGTGGTTGGCTGAGCATCAACGGCTTGTGGCTCTTCAGCTTATGAGCCAGTGTCATAAATATAGCTTCTACGTGGTCATTATCATTGGGATTTTTAGCAGAGGTCTCAAACAAAGGCATACTGTGTGTGTCAGCAAACTTCTGTGCCAAGTCTGTGGGCACCTGAATGGCGCTTCTCAAGTCACATTTGTTTCCAACCAGAATGCGAGGTATGTCGCTTGCCAGCAGGTGTTGTTTGCATTCCTCGATCCAAGATGGCAGGCTGTGGAAGCTGGCCATGTTGGTCATGTCATACACGAAGACGACAGCATGCACATTCCTGTAGTAGTGCTGAACCATGCTCTTCCTGAACCGTTCTTGTCCTGCAGTGTCCCACAGCTGGATCTGGAGCGTGGCAAACAGAAAGCAAAGTCCACAAGTTCAGTCCAATGACACACGTATCAAGCAACTTAACCACCTCTACCTGCTCCCTAACAGCGTGACACCTGGGAGCTTGGCTTTTCTGAGTGGGGTCTAGACTTCACCAGGCTAGTCCAGTCACCACGTGACTACTAAGTATGACTATAAAAATCTGAGCAGGTAAGGTCTTAAAAATGATTTTTTTTGAAGAAAATTGAGGGAAAGGGATACAACACATAAAACACCCAGAATCTTCATAGCCTGGAGACAGGAAAGGCAAATGCTGAGTCCAATGTACTAAGTGAGTGGTTTTACATTTCTTATCCTGCATGCACACACATGCCATGATGAGTCCACGCAGGCCAGGTCAACTCAGCAGTCGGTTCTCCACTGACACTTGGTAGGATGCAGGGACCAAGTACTCCCAGCCACCAGGCCATCCATCTAGCCCTCAGTATTGACTTTGAAATCTGTCAGCTCTTTAAATTCAAATTTCTTCATCTTATCCTTTTTTTTTCTTTCTTTTTTCCCTTTGATATAGGGCTTTACTGTGTAGTTCTGATGGCCTAGAACTCTCTATGTAGACAGAGCTGGTCTCAAACTCACAGAGATCTGCCCATCTCCAACTCTGGAGCTCTGAGATTAGAAGCATACATCACCATGGCCAGCCTCTCCATTTTCTTAATAGCCTTCCTTTTTCCTAATTAATATAAGTCTAATTTTATTCAGAGTAGAAATATAAGTACTTACAAATCGTGATTTTTTCTGATTTTCTGGTATTTAGGGGACCCAGTGGCAGAATTTGAACCACTAACATGAAGGCACTCCAGGAAAGCTACTGTCTTTAGGATTGAAAACCCAGGGCCTGGGGAGAGGATAAAGTGTTTGCTGTATGTGGTAGCTTGAATGTAATGGCCCCCATTAGCTAACTGGGAGTGGCACTATTAGGAGGTGTGGCTTTCTTGGAGTGGGTATGGCCTTGTAGGAGGAAGTGTGTCACTGTAGGAACGGACTTTGAGGTTCCCTATGCTCAGGATACTGCCCAGTATCACAGTCCACTTCCTGTTGCCTTCTGATCAAGATACAGCCAGAACCAAGTCTGCCTGCACACCGCCATGCTCCCCTCCATGATGATGGACTGACCCTCTGAACTGCAAGCCTCCACCTCAATTAAACGCTTTCTTTTATAAGAGTTGCCGTGGTCATGGTGTCTCTTCACGGCACAGAAACCCTAACTAAGACACTGAAATTTGAGACCCTGAGTTCTGTCTCCAGTACTCACAACAGCCAGGTGCATCAGTCACACCTCTAGCCCCAGCAATGGGGGGTGAGGACAGGAGGATCTCTGGGGTGTGCAGGCCAGCCGGACGAGCTGGACTGTTCAGTCGCCAGTGAGAACCCTGTCCCAGAACTAAGGTAGAGAGCCCTGGGGAAGAATGCTAGCCTCCATGCATGCCTGCACACACGATCCTGAACAGACACAGGGAGAACATTGAGAACACGTCATGTGTCACAGCTCACTCTGCCCCTTGTTGCCCGACAACAGGCATTTATAAGAGTGAGAACAGCCTCACGAGGAAAGCACAGTACAGAGTTAAACATAAGCTTGGCATCCTACTGTCGAGCTGGGAACCCGGCTTCAGCTCCTCTCCCTCCCCCTCTCCGTCTCTCTCTCTCTCCCGGGACCCCACCCTCAGAAAACCCACCAAACAGCGGCTCCTCCCCTGGAGCTGCTCAAGACCAAGCCTACAAGGCATCTAAGCTCTGGTGCATAGTTGTGCCACGTGATTCCTCTTCCTCCCTGCTGTCTGTGGTACTGTGACTCGGAAGACTAGGGCAGAAGTAGCTGGAGTCTGAGAAAAGCCTGGGCAACTGAGAATACGCTGTCCTTAAACTTAAAGATCCAGAGGCTGGAGAGCCAGCTCAGCAGATAAGAGCATTTGCTGCTCTTAGAGAGGACCAGGGTTTGGTTCACAGCACCTCTATGTTGGCTCACAATGGTGTGCAACTCCAGTTCCAGGAACCCAACCTCCTCTCTGGCACCTTGGTGGGCACCAGGCACACACATGGTGCATACACACTCACCTACATAAAATAAAGATAAATGAAAGCTTTCTTTAAAATCCTAAGAGAAGATGTTGTCTCACTCTCACGACCTCTGCTCCTGGAGTTCTCACCTCCAGTTACCACGCCTTGCCTTGGTGGGCCCTCTTTATCAACAAAAGCCAGTTACTGAAACCTTTAGCTTCAGAGTCAAAAGTCACATAGGATTTTGTTCTTTGTCACCTGCCTTTTCATTAGCTTTCTTTGTCACTTGAATTTGGGAATTCCAGGGTAACCTACCAATGCCCTGTCTGCATAACCGAACACTCAGCTCCTACCCCTACTACAGGGATTGCCAGGCCAGATCCTGCCCTAACAGGGAAGTCAGACACACGATACGATAAAGATGATGATGGTGTGATGGAGGGCTAAGGGGATTTCCACAGAAGGAAGCAGAAAGGCTGGGATTCTAGGAGAAGCTGAAAACCAATCTTGCGTGGAAATACAGGAAGGAGGGAGGCTCTTCAAGGCAACAGTGAGAAACCAGCAAATGACTGGGCTGAACTACGGGAAGATGAAGGAAGAGGGCGGCATGCATCCACCAGAGGAAGGCTTGTGGAAACTGTTTTTAAATGAGATCAACGGAGCTGCCATCAAAGCTCAAAGGCAGGTCTGAACTGTTTCCCAGTACTAAGGATGAAACTCACTGTCCTGACCATGCCCGACAAGTCCGCCATCACTGAGCTTTACACATCTCTCTCCCCTCAAAGGGAGGCTTGAGGGAAAAACTGCAGCTAGGGTTTTGACGAGAGGAGTAACAGGAAAACTGCAGGAGGAAGCTGGCTGGATGTAGGGAGGGAAGGATGAGGATTACATGAGGATGACCTGGAAGATTCCGAATTTCATGTCATTTTCATTTACCATGAAATCTCATTCTTAGACTCATTTTCTCCAACCACCCAAAAACACAGCTGGGGTACAGCTTGGAGCCGTGAGCACTGGCTTGTGTAGCACGTGACGAGGCAGCCCCGCGTTCAAGCCCAGCACAGAGAACAACACAAAACTCATTCTTAGACTGCATGTCCCACAAAAACAGGAAGTAGAGCAGTGGACTGTCACAGCTTGCTGCTCCTTACACCGTACTAGCATTCTTTGTGCTTAATATATTTGATCTAGGGGGAGGAGACATCTTGGCTGTTTTTCCTTAGTTAATATTAACATCATTCTCTCTTCTCCCGATATAACAGGAGAGTCACCGACATGTTTAAGTAGTGACTGCTGATCCCTGATGGAAGACTGGATTAAATCTCAAAATGACTGTTGAGAGAGGCACCCAGCTAGACAGTCAAGGGGGAGCATATGGATCAAGACTGGGACAGTCGATCTGAAAGTCAAATGCATTTTTATTTAAGGAACTCATTTTTATTCAGCTGCCAAAATCCTGTGAACAAGATTTTCCTCTTTCAAGTTTATGCATATAGCACTCAGAAATCAATTAGCAAGTACAGCCTTCTGGGGTTTTGTTTTCTTTCTTTGGTGTGTGTATGTTTAGACAGGCTCTCACTATGGCGCTCTGGCTGGCCTGGAATTAGAAAGGAAGGCTCTTTAAAGCTACCAGACGGCTGGTGGCCGTGGCCACGCTGGCCGAATAGCCTGAGGAGTCCTTTTCAGACAGATCTATGAATGCTGGGAGCGGAGGGGTGCTATCATACCTGACTCAGCCTTCTGAGACGAGGAGGCCTGCAATCCCCTGCAGTCAGGCCAGTCCTGAATTTAAGACCACCCTCCTGACTCAACTTCACATTATGTAGCTCCGGCAGGCCTGTAACTCACATAATCTACCTATCTCTGCTTCCAGAGTGCTGAGAACAAAGGCATGAGCCACCACACCCAGCTTGAGGAAAGGTTTTCAAAGATTTAATATACACAGGGATGGGGACAGAGCTTAGGCCACAGAATGCTTGCCCATTGTACACACAGCCCTGGATTCAGTCCCCAGCACTGCATAAACCATGTGTGCTTGCCTGTAATCCCAGCATCCAGGAGGTAAAGACAGGAGGTTCACAAGTTCAAGGTCAGGTAGCGGAGATGAGGCCCCATCTCAAAATACACAGGAGCAAAGAGCAATTGAGAGAGACATCTAACATCAACCTCAGGCCTCTACACACACACACACACACACACACACACACACACACACACACACACACACACACACTTTAAGGTTATCCTTGAATATATAGACTTTGAAGTCAGCTTTGGGTACATGAGACCCTAGGACGACTGTGGCTTATAATAAATTTCGGTTTTACTCAATCATTGAAAAAAAAAATAGCCAAACGAATGGAAACACATGAACTATGAACCAAAGGCTGAGGGGCCCCCAGCTGGATCAGGCCCTCTGAATAGGTGAGACAGTTGATTGGCTTGATCTGTTTGGGAGGCATCTAGGCAGTGGGACTGAGTCCTGTGCTCATTGCATGAGTTGGCTGTTTGAAACCTGGGGCTTATGCAGGGTCGCTTGGCTCGGCTTGGGAGGAGGGGACTGGACCTGCCTGGACTGAGTCTACCAGGTTGATCGCAGTCCTCGGGGAGGCTTTTCCCTGGAGGAGGTGGGAATGGGGGGGAGGCTGGGGGTAAGGGGAGGGGGTGGGAGGGGGAAAACAGGGGAACCCGTGGCTGATATGTAGAACTGAATGGTATTGTAAAATAAAATAAAAGGAAAAAAATAAAGGCATACAGGGCTGGAGAGACAGCTCAGAGGTTAAGAATACTGGCTGCTCTCCCGAAGAACCAAAGTTTGATTCCCAGCACCCACATGGTGGCTTAAAACCATCTGTAATTCCAGTTCCAGGAGAACCCAATGCCTCTGTGGGTACTGCATACACACGGTCCACAGACATACACACAGGTTGCACCAGTACACCTAATATAAAAAATATTTTTAAGTGCCAGGGATGTAGCTTAGTTGTGGAAGTGGTAGAGCACTCACCTAACAGGCAGGGTTTGGATCCCAGCCCTAATACCACCACTACTGCCACCAATACACACTTCTCCAGAAGAGGACACCAAGGTGACCTGTCAGATGAACTGAACAGGTTGACAAGATGAAGAGGGTGTGTATATATGTGCGTGTGCATGTGTGTATGTGTTTGAGACAGAGTCTCATTGTTCCCTGGCTGTCCTGGAACTTGCTGTATAGATGAGGCTGACCTCAAACTCAGATCTGCCTGCCTCTGCCTCCTGAGTGCTAGGATTAAAGATGGACACCACCACACCCACTACGGCTCCATAACTTTGTGAGATTTTTTTTTTTTTTTCAGGAAAGATAGTACATTATTTTAAGCCAATGATTGACTTACAAACAGATCCTAGAGGTAAGGGACTATTCCTTACACCCGCAGATTTTCTTTTTTCTTACTTTTTTTTGGTCTTGTGTTTTTGTTTTTTAAGATAGGGTTTCTGTGTAGTCCTGGATATCCTGGAACTCATTATGTCAGTGGTTCTCAGCTTTCCTAATGCTGTGACCCTTTAATACAGTTCTTCATGTTGTGCTGACCCCCAGCCATAGAATTATTTTCATTGCTACTTCATAACTGTAAATTACTTCAAAAACTGTAAATAGGAATCATAATGTAAGTATCTTTGTTTTCCCATAGTCTTAGGTGACCCCCATGAAAGGGTCATTCAACATCCCCCAAAGGGATTTCAACCCACAGGTTAAAAACCACTACACTCTGTAGACCAGGCTGGCCTTGAACTCAAGAGATCTATCTACCTCTCCCTCCCAAGTGCTGGGATTAAAGGCAAAAGTAGGTGGATCTCAGTGAGTTCAAGACCAGCCTGGTCTACACAGAGGGTTCCAGAACAGCCAGGGCTACACAGAACGACTGTCTCAGGGGTGGAGATGGCTCAGCAGTTAAGAGCAGTGGCTGGTGGCGCACGTCTTTAATCACAGCACTCAGGAGGTAGAGGCAGGCGATCTCTGTGAGTTCGAGGCCAGCCTAGTCTACAAATCGAGTTCTAGGACAGCCAGGGCTGTTTCACAGAGAAACTCTGTCTTAAAACAAACAAAAAGAGCACTGGCTGCCCTTCTACAGGACCCAGGTTCGATTCCCAGCACCCAATTCAAACATACATACAGGCAAAACACCAATGCACAAGAAACAAAAATAAATTTTAATTTAAAAGACTCTTAAAATTAAATAAACAGATAAATATAATTAAAAAAAAAAAACCAGAAAAGCAAATACCTTAGTCTGTTTTCTGTTGCTATAACAAAACTTTCGAAGGTTGACTAATTTAGAGAATAGAGGCTTATTCGGTTCACAGCTTTATAGGTGGACAAGCCACTCCCAAGAACCCAGTAATCCATAAATGGGATTAATTCACTAACTTATGAATGAACTAATCCCTTAACCAGTCAACAGATTAATCTAATTAATCTATGAAGGGATTAACCCATTTGTAAGTCCAAAGGACCCAATCACCTCCCAAATGTCTCACCTCCAAGTCTCATTACTTTAGGAACTTGGGAATTAAGATAACTTAGGAGACAAATTTAAGCCACACCACAGCCTGAAGCTTTTCATCGGCTCACACTTGCACCTGAGTTAGCTGGGCTCCAAAGTCTGAGCAACTTCCCACAATTGCTCACCCCATGCTTGCACATGCACACACCAGACGCCTCATCTTTTCTACCATCACCAGCGTCTACACCTGACCCAGTTTAGCTTGAAAAAAAGTTGGCCTTCCACCCATCTAGCTCTTCTTGCAGTGTACACAAATCTCTTTCCTCAGCTTCTGCTAGGGATCAAACACTGGGCCTTGGGCATCCCAGTAAGCACCCTATCACTGGGCTGTGTATACCCTAGTCCCATAGACCTCCCTTTACTTTACAGTACCGTGTACCCAAACCACCAGGACTGGCAGCGCTTGCCAAGCTACACTTGACCCTCAGCACCTGCAACCCCAGCCGCAGGGAAGCAGAAACAGGAGGATCCTCGGGGCTTGCTAGTCAGATAGTCTCATGGAATCAGGGAGCTCCAGATTCATTGGGACACTGCCTTAAAAACATAAGATAGAGAGCAACTTCGCAAAGCTGACATGAACATCTAGAGTCTGGACTAGTCTGGACTTACCACCACCACCACCACCCCGCCCCTGCCCACACGAGCGCGCACGCACACACACACACACACACACACACACACACACACACACTTATGCACACATGTGCACCCACACACATAAATGAAAATGGAAAAGTCAAGGGGCATAGAGAAGGTGGTCCCCTAACTCAGATGATTGCCCCTTATCTTTACTGGGGGTGAAAATTCTTTGAGGGCAGGGAGGGTGCGGTGAGTGAAGAAACGGAAACTTCATGCCTCAAGAACAGAAAGGGAAGAGGAGCAAATCAAAGCTGTTCCAAGGAGACTGAGGTAGAAGACCGCCAACATAGGCCAAAGGAAAAGCAGCTGCTGAAGGAAGTCAGGGTAGTTCCTGGGTTTCGTGTGGGGATTTTGATTTGTTTGTTGTGTATTTTGAGATGCGGTCTCGCTGAAGTCTCCCTAGCTATCCTCGGACTCACTATACAGAACTCCCAGAAACCCACTTTCCTCTATCTCCCAGAATTCTAGGATTAAAGGCATGGGTGGGCCTCCCCCACCTCCATTTCACAGGTTTTAAGGGACGGTATTAAGTAAACCTAGTGATTTTGCAATAGAGTGTGGAGGTTCACAGCATCAGGCGGCCCCCGACTTGTCAAGAATCTTTATTCTGCAATTCCAGGAGTCCAACCCTTCAAATCCCAATCCCGGCTGTCTTGGCCTTCCCTACTATGATGACAGCATCTGATGTCTCAGAAGCCACCTGGGAGAGGGTCTGTGCTTGCATGAAGAGATAGGATTTTGGCAACCACTTAAGATCCACTGCATATATAAAGCTTCAATGGGAAAATAGATTTTTTTTTTCTAAACAAATTGGTTATCATACAGAAACCGCCTCAAACGCAACAGGCTTTATTTCCACAATACTTAGCATTTATGCAATGCTCTTCGAAATAACTGAGTTTTCTATGCTAAAGAAATTTCTGGGTTTGTTTCCTTCGGTCATATTCCCCAGACTCCCAGCACATAACTCTCAGGCAATTGGGGGGGAGGGGGATGACTGCCCCCTACACCATTGACACTCCAAGTGTGATCCACAGGCTCGTTACAAGTGCGTCATATGGGAGCTTACCAACTCATAACGCGCTGTTTTGAAAAGCAAGATGCCCAAGGTAAAGTTGGTGCACGTTAGAGATGCGGGGCGGGGAAACACTGCCTCCGAAGTTTGCTACATACAGACGCGCTTTCCACACCAGCGTGGGGAGCAGACGGGGCCCCCGCACACTCCCGCCCAGAGCCCGGGGTGCGGTGCACACCCCTGCAAAGCCGGGGCAGCCCTCCGCAGCCACACACCCCCTCCCCCATCGGCGCACCTTGATCCGCTCGCCATCGATCTCCACGGCTCGCTCTCGGAAGTCCACCCCGATGGTGGCCTCGGTGCGGTCGGGGAAGCGGCCGGCGCAGAAGCGGTAAGTCAGGCACGTCTTGCCCACGTTCGAGTCGCCGATCACGATGATCTTGAAGATGCGGGAGCGGGCGGGAGGCAGACACCCGGGCGCCCCTGACACCGCACAGCTGGACGAGAAGCTGACCTCCAGGGACGACTCCATGTCCGAAGCCATCCTCCCGACTCCCTCCGAGCTGAGGCGGCGGGAGGAGACAAGCCTCGGGAACGGCGTCCCCGCAGCGACAGCGTTCCCCGGCGGCACCCCACAACGCCCGGCTCCCCAGGGCCCGCAGGCCCCGCAGCGCGCCTGCGCGAGCCCCGCCCGCCCCTGCCCTCCCAGGTGTGGCGCCCGGCTCCGGCCTTCTCCGGCCCGCCGGCGCGGTGTACCTGCAAAGGCCGGCCGGCGCTCCCTGGCTGGACTGCAGCACGGAAGGTCCGCCTGGGGGACCTCTGTCTGCGGCACTCCCGACCTGGACCGGCCCTGCCACGTCCGATGTGCCGGGGACTCTGGAGGAAGCGGCGCAGCTCCTCAGGGGCGGGGAGAGAGACAGCAGAGAGGAAGGAGGTGCGGCCCCGATGCTGTCTCGCGAGAGGCGGCGGTGCGGTGGTGGCGGCCACCGGGCAGGGCGGGCAGCCGGGTCGGAGCAGTGGGGGCCAGGGCATCGGCTGCGCTCACCAAGTCCTCCAGCCTTTGCGGAGCGGGACCGAGTGGGCAGGGGAGTGCGAGGATGCTCGGCCTTGCCTTTCCCGGCGCCGCCATGGCCCCTTGAGGTTATCCTCGGATCTTGTCGCCCAAGCCTTGTTTGCTTTAAATACCCCCGATCGCATAGAGCAGATCACCGTGGGACTCTTGGGAAACCCAAACCCTTTACGCAGCTAGGCGTGCGGGTCCTGGAACGCCTGCTAGCGGGAGCTGAGGCAGAAGGATGTAAAGTCGGAGTCCTCAGAGGAGGGAGCCTAGTTTTTAATCCGAGCACTCAAAAGGCAGAGACAGGAGAATCTCGATGAGTTCAAGGCCAGCCTGGGTTACATCGCGAGCTCCGGGACAGCCAAGACTTTTAACAGGTCCCCACACCTTAGCACAGGATAGAAGTACCATTCAGACCTTAGAACCCAGCACTTAGGCAGCAACATCTGCCGAGAGAGAGAGAGAGAGAGAGAGGGAGGGAGGGAGGGAGGGAGG